AAGCAACTTATAACCCCACTTCTAAGTATCAAATCGACAAACAAATCAACCAATTGACAACTGATATAACCCCATGGTTTCAGACTACTTGCCCTTATCCCCGAATTCACTTGACATCCTCAGTACACCAAGACAACCAATATTTATTTAAGCTAAATCAGTCACGTACATACAATAATAGAACCTTAGCACGAAAGTACCAGGACTGCAACAAGAAAGAGCAAATCGCATTCATAATAATTTCTTTATACGGAAGCAGCCACGTCAACGTCGGGTAGCTCTTGTCTAAACTGCATCAAGTATGGAAAGTATTGTAGGACCACCAATTCTACAAACCCGAATTATTCAGACACTTACAGTTACAATATTAGCAACATCTGTTACGCTGTTCAGGTAGCCTGCACGGCATAAGCGCCACCTATGAAGGAATAGCACAACACCAGTTTTGCTGGTATTAGCCTAAATTCCTGCAACCCGCATTTCGCCAGCAGGCTAGCATTGTTTGTTACTGTACCTAGGATACTATATAGACTAAGATAATGCAACTAGGCATCACGAAAACAATAGTAGGGTAGACTGGGTACGGTTGAAACATTTTAGCGTTTATTGTCCATAGCATCGGGATTAGCTGAGCGAGCGATATCGGAAATATGATAAATAAAAGACCATATATTTGTTTACTAATAGGCAATGATATTTGAGATCACTGTTTTGTATTTTATCTGTAACATTAAATTAAAAAACAAATGTAATTTGTTTCAACCGTCCCCATGCCAGGGTCGGTTGAAACAGTGCCTGGGGTCAATTGAAACACATACAAATAATACGAAGTATAGTAAATAAGGATGTTTTATTAATCATCTAATAATATTTTACGACTCGTAATGGCACAGTTAAACATCAAAAATATATTTTCAATAATATTCAAGTCTTTGACGATACTTACAGACTAACAGTAAAACTTCAAAAGATATACTTTTCGATGAATAGATTAACAAATGACAAAACAACAATACTTTTTGTTAGAGAATAAAAATAAACAGTTTAAAACAAAAACTTATCCTTATTTAAGAAAAATCCTATTTAAGAAAAAAATAAAGACTTATTATTTCTATAAAAATCCATATTTTAAACAAAAATATTAAAGTGGTTATGAGATCATTCAGAATCACAATTATGGCAAATATAAATAAGACTACCTTTTGTGCACTCTTCATGCGCCCACATTTTACATTCTGTGCATTGTATCCACTTTTCCCTCGGTCTGCTTTCTGAATATGCTGACACACAAACAAGACAGTAGTATTCCTCTTCTTCTGATGATTCATCTTGCGTGATATTTTTTTTTCTGTTTCTAACATTTCTTTTCGTCTTTTCCTCTCCATCTAATCTTTTCTTAACTTGCTTAGCTTTGGTTCGTTTCAATCTGTTTTCATGTTCTCTTCTTATCTCTTCTTTCTCAGGTGTATCGGTGTATATTGTGGATTTTCTGGTTTTTCGCCCCCTGTTTGTTGATTTCCTTGGAGGAGCTTTTGGTAGTGGTCGTACTGCTTCCGGTGAAAACAAAAGTGTTGTACTCGGAGACGGGATATTTTTCGTTTGATTTGACAAGACAGGAATGGATTGAGAACTTGTAGAGGGTTTTGGTGAAATTTGCTGAACAATATCAGTACTTTGATGTCCGGGTAATGTAATCAAAGGTTCTGGATCTGCAGTAATATTTTCCTGTTGTCTGTCTGGGACTTGTGAACACTGTGACATATTTGCAGTCAGTTGTTGTACAGAAAGAGCTGTATTAGAAAGCTCCTCCGACATTTCTGGTAGTTCAGAAGGTGATGGTGTTGGTGTTTTATCCTCAGGTGTGTAAGTATTCTGAATATGGCCATCAGCTGCCTCATTTGTATTCGTATTTAGAGGATTTGGTCTGTCTGTCACAAATGCAGGTGCAAAATCGAGTTCACTAAACAAATGCCGATTAAATGGAACAATCCCAGTTGTGCGAAAACCAGCTTGAATGTTGGATTGTGTAAGAGCAAGCGGCATAGCAATACCTAAAATCCCTGGGATGTCGTATATTGACATTGTCTTGCCGGGATGACTTCGCATCCATCCATCACAGGTCGAATTTATAGCTTTTTTCAGCGGACCGAATACAGATCTATCAAGCGGTTGGAGTTTATGTGAGCAGTGGGGAGGGAACGATAGCACCACAATGCCATTCGTCTTGCAAAAGTCTAGAGCATTAATATGAATATGTGAAGAGTGGTTATCAAGTACAAGTAAGACTTTATGTGAAGAAGAAGCATTTGTATGTTTCTTGAAGTGTTCCAGGAAATGAATAAATGTTTCATCCTGCATCCAGCCAGAAGGATTTGCACTGCCAGCAGATCCTATTGGTCCATCCCTGATAAAGTGGTCTTGATATCGCACTCGCGGAAAGACGAAGAATGGAGGAATAGCATTTCCGATGGCATTAACTGCAAAGGCAACTGTGACTAAAGTACCCCTCTCACCTGAAGTCACTGAACCTACTTGGCGAGCACCACGTCTAGCTATTACTCTGTCGGGTTTTTGCACAGTAGTGATGCCAGTCTCATCAACATTATATATATTTTGTGGCTCAAACTTATAACGGTCCATAACAGTACTCAAATTGTCGTAAAAAGCATCTACATTATTTCTATTAAAGCTAGTCGCCCTAGAAAGACTTGTAGCCTGTGCTACACGTACTGAAAGTCCGGAATTTCTTCTCATAAACATTCGAAACCATTCGTCGCCAGCCATTTCGTTGTCATCCCATGTCCGAGGTCGTGATAAGTCGTACTTGATTGTTAGTTCGTATGCCAATTTCCTGACTTCCTTTTTAGTTAGGCCAAAATAGATATCTGCACATCTAGTTAAATAATTAGAAAGCTCACGTTCTTGTTCTTGGTTAAACACTCGATTGTGAGCCTTATATCCCACTTCTTGATTTTCATCACCACCAGCCGCATCTCGTTTACGTACGTATCTAAACAGGGAACAGTGGTTCAGCCCATTCTTTTCTGCCGCTGTTCTTAAAGAAGATCCCGCTTTCACATCTTCATAAGCTTGTTTATAAGTCGATAAGTCAGCCTGGCCTCTCGTAGTCTTCCTTTGGCGTACCCTTGGCATCTAAAAAACAAGACAATCAAATAAATAAGCTGTTTCAACCGTACCCACAAAAAATGTTTCAACTGTCCCCATCCCCCCTTCTAGGTATAAAACGGCTCACAATAGGAATGATAATAAATTTGAATAAAAACTCATCATACTACCATATTCTACAAACTTCAATTGCAACGATACAAAATGCTCAATACTTTAGCTTTAATCAAAACGATAATAATTGCAAAAATGTACGAACAAAAATACTTACTTTACCGCCAAAAAACACAATGGTGTCCCCTACACACAAGCACAGCGCGCGAAGAGCAAAATAATACTGAAATTCGTGTTTCGACTTGTCGTCTGCTCCGATCTTCTTCTGTTTTCGTCCCCCACCATGAAAGGCTCGCGAGATATTCGCTTTGTTTCAACCGTCCACCGTTTCAACCGTACCCAGTCTACCCTAACTAGTAAATGGCATTTAGCTACTTGTCTACGCATTTGTGGACATGCGTACAGAATCTATCAGTCATAGGCCCCGATATGTGAAAGGTATACTATCCATGAGCCGAAAAGGGTTCCATAGGGTCAGCAAAGCGGGTGTCTTCCACCACTGACGTCTCTCACACACATACAGTACAAGCCACTGGTGACTAGTACGCAGTATGAAAAGCGCAATCTTATACAAGAAATCGCAACATAAAGAACTGCAATTTAACTGTTCTAGTTGCAGGTGTTTCATAAGAGTACGTGTCTTATATTGAGCAAGATAGATATGATAGAAGCCCTAAAAAATATCCAAGCTTCTTCTTAACAGCTGCTACAACTGACCCGACATTTCGTGTCAAGAGGTGCCCTCAATGATCTGAATTCCAACAAACCAGAACCAAAGGCAGAACGAGTCTAAATAATATATGAAATTGATATCAAACTAGACATAATTGTATACTTTTATCAAGATTTTCACAAGCAAAACATAATTTGGATACGTTTTATATCTACTAGAGTTTCATAATGTTCGAGTCTGCTGTGTTTCGTTGTTTTGTTCTGTTACGCCACTGGATGTCAGCATAGAAGTCAAGCAGGCCAGTGCAGGGCAGAGAACAATTGCACGTCGCTTATCTCCGTGTCGAATGCGAAACGTCAACGGAAATGGAAAATAAATGGGCCCATTTGTTGACAAACACTTTGAAAACGCCGCTAAAACATATCTATTACCAGGCTGCTGGCCGCTGGCTGCAAACCCATGATGACTGTATTGTCGGGAGAGAATTGTGGCACTTGTGTGTCTGCCGTACCTACTTACTACTGCTCCGATATCGACACTGGGCTTGGCGGTTCAAATAATATTTAGCTTTATGTTTCTGTGAAAAATATCAAAAATCTATAAGCAGTGGCCCGCCCAGGATTTCAGTCTGGCAGGGGTAAAATGGAAAGTAAATTCTCAGTGTGACGTACTGAAGTGTTGTAATGATTTAACATTAAAAGCATGGACATATGCAGACATACGCGTTTGTTACAGTAATTTCTGTAGAAAATACATACTTTTTTTTAATTTTGAATCATACGAATTCAAAGGGTGAATAAAGCAAACCAAGCTCGAGCAATCTTCATAAATATATTAAAACAAAAATGCAAAATAATATTATCTATCACAGACTTTTCTTCATAACAATGTCAGACAAAACGACAAAAAATACACCTTCATGAAAAAAATAACAAGAACAAATATGTTACGGCTTTTATAAAGTATAAAACTGAATGTAAATCAAAACAAAATTCTTAATCATGACAAAAAACACAAAAAATATTCATAAGCATAAACATATAAACTATGAAACTACATCAGTTCACAGTCTCAAAACAAAACAATCATTACATTATCTTAGAAAGTGATTTGAGCAGAATTTGAACAGGACTTTTATATCAATCTGCTGGACAATAAGTAAAACCATATATCTTGATTGGATACTTTGTAAACGATCACCGTGGTGGTTTAAATGTAAGTAAACCCTTAACTACACCTGCCTTTTTATTTATTGGCCAACAGAAGGGAGATGGATTTGAGAGACAACCTTAGGCAAAGTTCAGGTGTTATCATATTACAAAATCAAGGCATCTCTTTTTGCTGGCGAACGGATATATGATTGTATTGACGTCTATTTTAATATCCCTATGCAGATGTAAAAGAGCTAAACCCACTAATCGCGTAACATAGTGGAGCGCAGCCGAGTTTTGATCCTCTTTAGATGGGAGAAACTTCTTTCAGATGTCGCAACACTTACCGGCAATGTAATCAATAATTGTAGGCATCTATTAGTTGAAGGAAAAATGCTTTCATCACATGATAAATACAGTGTCATTCCACTGTCTATAATATCTTGTGTACGTGACCTCCAAAGGTCAAATTCTGCTTTTAATCTGGCACTTATTAAATTTCTGTTTTCTTTACTATTTAGTCCATGCAAATATTTAGAGATTGTTTCCAATATCTCCATTACTTCATCTTCAGTTTTTTAGTTTAATACTGACGCAAAGAAAATATTAAAATTGTACCAACCGGTATACAAATAGTGTTTTTAATACTGTATTTCTTTTAGCGGATGCTTTGAAGAACGCAGTTACTTCCTTCATTATACACCTACAGTATTTCTTACTGTTTGGACACTGCTGCTTTTTGAAATCGAAAGATTCAAGTCATGATTTGATCATGGGCTTTTTAGAGCATTTAGCAAACATTTTTGCAATTCCATTACAGCGTCCTTTTGTTCACCTAACATTAGGTTACACGTATCACTATCAATGCCCACACATAGTTTTGAGTCTAAGTTATTGGTTTTAATGAAATGCTTGACTGTTTGAACAAGAATTTGACCTGTGAGTTTGGGCTCCATTGTATCTTCATCCAAATTAGAGTAGCAATCCACAATACCCATGAAGTCCTCATAAATATATTTTTGATACCAATACCGCAATACGATTGACATTGGTGATTTATGGCTAATGTCTGTAGTTTCGTCAAATATAATACTGTAATACTAACTTTGCCTGACGCGACTTAAAGCTATATCCAAGATTTCTTCGCCACAACATTCTATAATTTCATTTTGGATGCGGCTGCTTATGTACGTATTAGTTTTCTAGTATTCCCTTCTTTCTTAAGGACATCCTCGTCATTCGTGCTGTCATTAGAAAAAAGTCGTACCCTATATCTATGCCCTCTAGGGGAAAAGTAGGTAATATGCCCCAGTTGACAAAATGCCCCACTAGCGTTTCACTGAAACAAGCACACTTTTTCGGCACAATGCGGCATCCGCGCATCGAAGAAAGTCTGCCGGCAACATGGTTTATGTTCCTACACGCGTGCTGTAGCTTGTTAAAAAAATATTGCAAAGGATAGTTTTTCAGTGGTCGGACAATTTGTGGTAAGTTCCAAACAAATTTATATATCGTTAATACTATTTGTTTTATTCCAAACTTATATGCACCATGTTAAAACATATAAAATTGGCTTCATGCTCTGTGTGTGTCAAACAACATAACCTAAAATTCCTTTCTTGCATCAGAGTGGGGCGTTTTAGACACCATATTTTACAATATGCCCCATTGTATGGTTTATAATTCGCCCCACCATTAAAACCGCAAATATTATTCATGGTTCTTATGTTTTCCAGAATATGTCACGAAAATATGAACGGAAGTCACTACGAGCGTCATGGGCAGCTGAAGATTTGGAAGAGGCGATGCAGCAAGTCCGGGGAAAAATTATGGGCATTAATGAGGCTTCCAGACGTTTTGGAATACCATCCAGAACATTGAGAAGACACCTTATAACGGGAAAATCAAAGGTCCCCCTTGGCCGCAACCCTGTATTTTCAGTTGAATATGAAAGAAAACTTGTAGCACATATACAAAAATTGGAAAAAGTTGGTTTTGCACCAGACAGAAATGATGTGAGGGAAATGGCTTTCCAGTTAGCAAAAAAACTTGACATCAAACATACATTTTCTGAAAGGTCGGGATCAGCTGGTAGGGTGTGGTTTACTGGATTTATGAAAAGAAATCCAGAACTAACTCAAAGAAAATCAGAAGGCTTATCACTTGCACGAGCATATGGAGTAAACAGAAAAGACATTCAATATTTTTATGACCTTTTGGCCAAAATTTACGAAGAAAATGACTTTGCATCTCATCCTGAAGATATAATATATAACATGGATGAGACAGGGATTCAGGTTAATAACAAGCCAGGAAAAGTAGTGGCAACAAAAGGGGTCAAAGATGTATATACTCTCACAAGTTGTGAAAAAGGTGAAAATGTGACAGTTATAGCATGTTGCAATGTTGGAGGTAATTTCATGCCTCCTACATTAATATATAAGGGAACTTACACTAAGCCCCAGTTTTCTGAAGGGCTTCCGCCAGGATCCCGGGGCCTTATGAATAAAAAATCATGCTATATTAACTCGGACTTGTTCATGCAGTGGTTTGAAGAAGTATTTTTACGCGACAAAGGTCCTCGAACGACTTTATTAATATTAGATGGTCACAGTTCGCATAGTAACAATATTCGGGTACTAGAAGTAGCCAAAGAAAATAATGTGATACTGTTATGCCTACCAAGCCACACAACGCATGTACTTCAGCCTCTTGACAAGGCCTTTTTTAGGCCACTCAAAATGTTTTTTGCACAAGAAGCTAAATCTTGGATGGTACAAAATAGAGAAAAGAAGTTGACGCGCTATGATGTCTCAAAACTGATTGGCAAGGCTTGGGGTAAGGCCGCCACTGTATCCAATGGTGTTTCAGCGTTGAAGTGCTGCGGTATCTATCCATTTGATCCCCATGCTGTTGCAGACTATCATTTCTCATTATCAGATTCGCTACAAGAGCAAAATTTAGTTGACATTGACGAAGTCAACAATCAAAGTACAAGAAGTACTGATGAGAGTCTTACAGGAAATACTGCACCAGCAACTGAGATTCTGTCACAGCCAGGAACGTCAGGTCTCCACAGCACTCCAGTCTCCCTACATGATGATGAATCTGTGAATACGCCGCAAAAGCACCCACAAAATGATGCATCCCAACAAGTAGGCATTTGTGATAAAACGCCTGAAGAAGCCATTCCATCTTCTGATGTAAAAGACAAAGAAACGCCTTCCAAAGTTCTAAGTGAAATACATCCAGTGCCCAAACTACCAAAAAATCTGTCCAAAAGGAAACAAACAGCAATCATTCTCACTTCGCCGGAAAATATTGAGAAAAGAACATTACTGGCAAATAAAAGAAAGATTAAAGCTGAAGCTGAGAGTAATAAACTCAAGAAGGCTAAAACAAAAGTGACTAATACGAAGAAAAGGGATGACCTTAGTAGAGTAAAAGGTAAAAAGGTGTTAAAGAAGAAGCCAAAGAAGAATGCGTCTTCAGATAGCAATGATGAAAATATGGAGACGTTTGAGGAGTCGGAAGAAGAGCTATCTGATGAGGATCCAAACAGATGTGCCGAATGTACTGAAAACTATTACCAAACACAATCTACAGAGGATTGGATCCAATGTCCCACTTGTTCAGCATGGCTGCATGAATTTTGTACAATGTATGCTCCTATGTGTAATCGTTGTGGACGAAAAGCTAAAAGGGCATCTATCCAGAAATGAGTTCCATTCATGCGTATAAACATTATATACCTATGTATTATATTTCAAAGATTCATTTTATCACTTCATCAAACACTAATAGTGTCGAATTATCATTTCATTTTTGTTTGTACAAAAGTAATATTCTAGTTTTATTTCATCAGAAGTGCTGTATCTTACTCTGATATTCATTAAAGTTATTTGAATGATCATTTTTTCAATTATTGCTTATATCTTCAAATTAATATAATATTGAAGGTAATGGGGCATTTTGCAACTCGTGCGAGGCGTATTACCTGAGGGTCAGTTGACAAAACGCCCCACTCAAGGTTCTGGAAAATATGCAATCAATATCTGTCTAAACGATTTAGATCAATGTAACATCTGTCTTTACGTTGTAAAAGAGCCAAGCTATGCCCCTGATTAAGATCTTGCCGATATCTTCAAATGTTTTCTTTCAATAGGCCCTTGAAAAAAAGTGGGGCGTATTACCTACTCTTCCCCTAAGTGGTATATTTTGGCGTCCTAAAAAAATTATAGATTCTATTATAGGAGTCAACCTTTGAAGATTTTCAGATACTTGCTTACTTCTATCATTCTCTGGATTTTCGTAAATCTTTAAAAAGTTTGTAGCATCTGAAACTGCTTCTGTATGATATATTGAGTTCTCATGTGTCTCACAATCACCGGTTTTGACATACAATTTCGCAAATTTCTTTAGTGGTACGGGAACAAGTTTTCCCAATTTAGTTGATTTATGTACTCATCCTAGTTTTGCAAAAACCACGCAATATTTACAGAAAAGCCCTTGCAGTTCCTCTGAATATGACAGCCAAGGAAAGTATTTTTTGATAAGTAACATTTCACTTCTTTATTATTTTTCAAGTGTGTGGAATAGGGATATTTGAAAGAGTCATTAGGGATCATTGCACACCTCAATAAGGTATATCTTTCATGGGAAGACAAGTTGCCGCTGAAATTTACATATGGCGCAACATCAACAAAATTGGATCCTTTAGGTTTCGCACCCGATTGTTCAACACTTGTTTCAGCATACGGTGCAATATCAAGAAATTTTGAAGTGGAAGGCTCAGGTTGAATTGTAGGATTATCATTAGTTTTTTCCGGTAATTGTTCTGCCGGTGGATCAGACAGTTTGTTTTGTTTAGAAAGAAACCAATCGATGGTATTCTGTTTCCTTTTACTCATCCTGACAACAGCATCCGCCTACCAGCACTAAAAGTTACATAAATATTGTCAAATAAAAGACATTATTGGTTTCCGCGCATTCACGTATCTCATAACAAAGCACCTTTTCTGTTTGGAAAACAAGATTTCTTAAGTTCACGCAATTTTCAACAACTAAATATATAATTTGCCATCTCGGACGAACGAAATGCACTGAAGTGCTTATATACGGGGACTTCCGAGACAAAATAGACATAGCTGATAATGATAGCTGGAGTATGGACCAAACACTTCGTAATTGATATTATATTAAATTCCCATTTTTCCGTCTGTCATTTTTTTAGACACGATTCTTTTATGGCATAAAAATTAAAAAAACAAACATAAATTAATTTATGCGTGGAAAATAAAAAAACAATAGAACATAGAAAATAGCGTTAATACCAACCAGATCAACAAAACTCCGCTTGGTCACTTCTCAGCCAAATTTTGTTGCGGACTCCAGACTGGTACAGAATTTAGACACTAAACTAGACCATAAAAGACTAGACTATACATGGTACAAAATAATGAAGCGCACACCATTGCTGTTGGTGAGAGAGTAGTCGCTAGTCGCATGCGCACTGAGCGGGTTGGCAGTGTTCCCGCTATCCTTTCTTAAAGTTACAGATTTCTTTATATGACCTTTACTTTATACCACCTTTTCAAAGACTGCTCGAGTCTTCTGGGGGAGGAGGGTAATCACCCCCTTTATCCCCCCCCCGTGGGAGCGCCAGTGTCTATAAGTAGGGGAGAAGGGGGCAAGTTGTTACAAAATTAATATAGTTATTTATTTGGGCAAAAGTTGTTCTTTTATATGAAAACTAAAATTGGAGAAAGGTACCACATATATCTGTACATGTATTATCAATTTTATTTTATAATTTTTTTAATTCTTTGTACTTGGTAATTATAAGTTCAAGTAACTTTGTAAACTATAACAACTTGCCCCTCTGTAGGGCAAATTGTTACAGTCTAAGGGGTAAGATGATACAAGAAAAAAACTCAAAAACTTCAAAAAACAGTTTTGATAAATGGTCTTGGAAGGAACCTTTATTTAGCAACACAAAAAACATTCGGAACATTACATAAAGTAAAATAAAAAAAAATTAAATGAAACTTTTGTAAAAACAAAAACCTAAAGAAACTTGTAAAGGAAAGTTAAACTAATCATTATCGGACAAGCAGTGAATACAAACATAAAAATCGATATCTTTGCCACAACCTACATGCGCCCACCCTTTACAGACAATGCACTGGATCCACTCTTCATTTCTAGAATGTGAAAATGGAGTTAAACATATCAGACATGCCGATTCTTCATCCTCTTTTGAGCTTGTAGAATCTATTTTTTTAAGGGTCTTTTTAGCGCTCTGCTTCTTACATTTAGACTTTGCCCCACTTGTTAATTCACCTGATAAGTTTCTTTTAGTTGCTCCCACATTTTTTTTTCTTTGTCTTGTCCTTCCTTCCTCCTCTAAAGCAGATTTAATCGGAGTGTCTGTCAAAATTGCGGAAACTCTTTTCTTCCGACCTACTTTTGATTTTCTTGGCATGGCTTTTGGGTAAGGTTTTAATTCTCGGGGCGTTATATGAGTACCAGTAGATAGTAAATCAACAGATTTATGTAACGATAAGCTGCAAGCTGAACTCGTAGAAGGTTGTGGGGTTCTTTGGTTTTCCCTATTAAATTCTGGTTCAGGACTTATTTCCATTGATGTATTAATATTTTCTGGCTTTGGCCTGTCTGATACTTCTGAGGGTAAGAATTCATCATCTTGAAATATTTCTCTGTGGAAAGGCCAAATTCCAGTCACCTTAAATCCTTTTTGTATATTAAGAGGCGTAACAGAAAGGGAAAATGAATCTCTTAGAACGGTAGGTATATCATAGATGTTCATTACTTTACCTGGATTAGATCTTAATCATGCATCTGCAGCACTATTGGGATAGATAAATGTGATTCATGATTATCTAAGTTCATTAAAACTGGTTTCTCTTTGCTACAGCGGACAAATTGGACAAAATGTTTCATAAACAACAAAAAATTTTCACATGTCATCCACCCAGAGGAATGGGATGCACCGACACAACCAGGAGGCCCATTTGCTACCATAACATCCTTGAAGTTTTTCCGTGGAAATATTATGAATGGAGGTACGAAATTGCCATTTGCGTTAACCGCTAATGCCAAGGTAACAAGTCGACCCCTTTCTCCAGAAGTGATGGCCTACCTGCTTAGTTCCCCTTTTTGCTATGATTTTTGTGGGCCTTTGGACCGTGGTAAGTCCACTCTCGTCTATATTATAGACATCTTGAAGCTGGAATTTATATTTATCATAAACCTTGCCAAGATTATTGAAAAACTGCGACACATTATGGCGATTAAACGCAGTGGCTCTGCCCATACTAGTAGCTTCGGGTGTTCTGACAGATAAAGTTTGATGCCTCTTCAGAAATCCATATAACCAATCCTTGGAAGCTATTTCTTTCACCTTCCAATTTTCTGGAACAGATATGTTGTTTGCTATCGCAAAATGAAATGCAAGTTTGCGCAAATCAGAAGTTGTAAGACCGTAATAAATTTTAGCGGAATACTCTGTGTATTTCGCAAGTTCCTGTTCTTCGGCATTGTTAAATATTTTTCTGTGCGTAGCGTAGCCAACTAAGCACTTGCTTCTGTTTTCAACGTTTAGGGCTAACTTTCGTTTCATATAGCAGTGTAACGTCATAAAATTAACCCCGTAGCGAATAGCAGCATCTCTAATTGATAATTTTTCTTGTAATATGGCCTGTAATGCACTTTCATATTGTTCAATTGGAATAATACCTCTTGCAGTTTTCTTGTTGTACGTTCGCACCATGTTCAAGAAGCTGAAAACAACAAAAACAATTTTATTGTGTAAATTTTAGTGGAATGGAAAATTATAGTACTTGCATTAAATTATATGGGGCAAGTTGTTACAGTAACAACCTGCCCCCAAATTATTGTAACAACTTGCCCCGCGTGCACAAAATGAGGTTAGGTCAATGTTTTTTGGTAAGTATTGTGAATCAGGTAAAGACAACGGCATGCAAATAAAGAGAAAAATATAGGCTCCAGAACGGTATAATATACATATTTATACTACTTACCAATTTTTCACAAACGGAAACAAAAGCGAACAGACAACGGTACAGTTTTATAACTGAAACAACATTATACACGAAAACACCATGAAGGACGCTACACATGAGTATAACTGTTAGTGTACAGATGGCGGGTCGGCAGAGCCAATCTCTTGTACATTTTCAGGCAACCCGTCGTACTTGCTGCGCTTTAAAATAATTATGTAACAACTTGCCCTCGTAACAACTTGCCCCCTTCTCCCCTACCTATATCCAATATCAATTGAAACTAAGAAGTAGCGAATGTAGATAACTAGTTCAGCAGAAAGATGTGTCCTGACGTGGGCTATCGAAATACTCATATTTATTGTTTTACGTGAATACCTACAAAAGTAATGGTCCCAAAGCAATTGGTCCGCTGGTCAACACTTCTTATCCTCTGCTGTACTACTTATCTATGTAGGATTCCCAACTTTTTTGCGGTTTCGGGTTTTTTCGCTGATTCAATTGACATAGTTATACTGTACATACATTCTATGTATTATAATGTATACCATAGCCAACAGAAACTGTCAAACTGTGAGTACACTTTTTAAAAAGAAATAAGACCATTTGTGTCAATCATACCGGCAGGGGTATTACGTAACTTGAAAAGTGACATTATGTCGTTTTTTGACATTAAGCAGTATTTTTATGACTTATGAAGATTTTTCGACAAAACGTGAGTGTTCACTTGTAACAAGCGCGGAACGAACTATTTGCACACTAGCCTACTTGGTCAAGAAGTTGACATTTTATCGTTTTTTACTATCTATGTTTTTTATGTAATAACCCTGCGGGTGGGCAATTTGTATCAGCTTGTGGTTTGTTGAAAAGAACCGGAATATTGGGATATATGCTCAGGTGCAATCATTGTATGAGATTTGTACCTAAATTAAGCAAATATTTAGTTATTATAATAGTTATTTGTTATGAAATTTTTATCACACCAATGTGCTGAAAATCGGTGATTAATTATTTACTTATGCTTAGAGTCAATTCGAATATCAGGTATTTTATTAGAATAATATCTTGCCTATATTTCTAATTTAAGATCTCTTTGTGCATGTTGGCCAAATAAACCATTTAATTAACAATGAAAATCCAATAGTACATCAAACTGTACTGTTTACATTTGTTTAAGAAGCTTATTCCTCTGAACTCTCAGTACTTACATGAGTTTTTGCTGTGCGTTTTGATAGAAATATGTAAAATGATAATCAATTCAAATTACCATTCAATTCAAATAAGTCATTTTAGGTTATATAACGAAATATGCCAAATGAACAAATTGCCCAGATTTATAGCTCAAATAATAATGGCTGGTTTCAGTCGGACTGACGATTTTTGATACATGCATTTCAGTAGTTGTTTAAAGCACATAGGTGTATGTCCAATTCATCATCTAGCGCTACACGATCCCACAACGCGTCCGTATTGTTACAAAGTTTGCTTAAAAAATGAGTCGATTGTTGCAACGATTCGGAAGCTACGACAAGATTTCTCGAAATAATGTGCTCAGTGTCGACACCATTCATGCGGAAATTCGAGCAAACAGGTGAAGTTAAAGACTTGCCAAAGTGTTCGAACGGTTCGTACTCCGGAAGATATCGAGATAGTTCGTGAAAGTGTAGTGGAGCGCCCTGAGACGCCTACCAGATATTGTTCTCAAGAACTGGGTATTCGCACGTCATTTTGCACTATTTATAAAAAAGAATTGCATTTGCGGCCGTACAAAATTCAGTTAGCCCAAGAACTACAGCCTAGTGACCATGGAAGTCGCCGACAATACAGTGATGCAATATTGCAGCTCAAAATAACGATCTTTAGCAAAAATTCATAAAGAGCGATGAAGCCCACTTCGATATGAATAACTGTGAATCAGAGAACCCTCGTATCATCCATCCCTCGACAAGTCACAGTTTGGTACGGTGTTTGGTATGGAGGTGTCATTGGACCCTACATCTTTAAAGACGCTGTCACTGGCAAGCGCTACCGTGCTATGGTGCAAAACTTTCAGGTTCCTCAAATCCAACAATCTAACCTCCAAACCATGTGGTTCCAGCAGGCCGAAATAGCTTGTCACACAGCTAGGGAAACAATGAATCTTTTGCGAACAATATTTCCGGGACGTTTAATATCTCGATTTGGTGATGTCAACTGGCCACCAAGATCACCGGATTTAACGGCTCCTGACTTTTTTCTATGGGGATTTTTTAAAAATGGGATTATGCCAACAAACTAAATACTGTAAAGCGGCTGAAGAACAATATTACGGAAGCGATTGGAAATATCCCTCCCGAAAGCTACCAAAAAGTGATGGAAAATGTAATCAAGAGGGCTCAGGTTTGCGCGGCTTCTAGAGACGGACATTTGTCTGATATTATTTTTCATACATAATTTCCAAGTTTCAATACAAGATTAAGATGAAAAAAATGGACGTATTCTATTTCATTTTACAAATATTCAATAGGTATACAAACCATTCAGTTACATATCGGCCACCCTGTATAACACAAATTAATACCTAATAATAGGTACAACATAAGCAGGCATGCGTTGTGGGCAGTTAATTTTTTTCACCACTAACCTATAAGACGTCATTATTTACCGGAGTGACATAAGGAGAGGCTACATTTCTCCCCCTAGGGAAATTGAGAGAACAAAAAAATCCTAGGTGAATAATGAATGTGTGCTTACTAATAGTAAGTCTCAGCGAAAGCAATGTTCGGTGTTGCAGACATCGCGTCGGTTTTTTGTGACAGTGTTGCCGTTGAGGAAATTATCAGAGAAGCTAGATTTCAAAGTCTAATCGCATCAAGACTGAAGCTGTCAAGAAGGTACATGAGTAGTGTAGATGCTGGTCCAAAATTTTCCTTCCATATAATTTAAAAATTGGAGGCCACAAAGGAAATTACGCGAGGTAGGTACAGCTGTCGGATAACGGAAAGGCTGATGAATGAGTTCATTAAATTTACACTGCCGCAAATGGCGACAAATGACGAAATATAATCATTATGGAAGTCAAAGACTTTCGTTGTGGATATTCCTTTCACCCGTAATGGGTGCACTTTCTTCTTAGATATCTACAGTGTCGGTTTTTTATATACGTCTAAGCATTTTAGGGGTACTTTTGATATCGAAATTATGCCAACTGTCTTAATGACTAAGGAAAGAAACTGTTAAATGTGATCCCAGACAATTTGTACTTTGAGCCTTTGCATTGGAGCTTTGAGATATTGATGCAGGGGTTAGCATCGCCCCAGCCCCCCTCTCATTTTCGCTGTATATTCATATTCCATAATATTTAACATAAACAGGGCAAAGCACACGAGCCCTTAATACCCTGTTAATAGTGTAACACGGTCCCATCCATCAACACAATCAACCCAAAAAACTGCCCAGATAAGCCTTCCAGATTGCTCCGTAATGGCGGTAGGTGTTTTATACGCAATGTTACCACTTTGTATACTGAAATACCCGGTAATTATTTATATGGGATACGGGCGATGTGACATCCAGGGGCCCACCTTTGCGCAAGGCGGGGCGCCGCGTGATCCCATTGGTCGAGAGGAGTGGCCTATGTTACACAAAGCAGTGCCGCTGGCCCAATCTCGACCGATGACTCATTATCATATCCTGCCGGGAACCTGAATACGCCGCAGTTTCTGATCGACTGATGCCCTGTGTGAACGGGATTATGTTCATATCAAAGTTGTTGATTGCGGCACCGTGTTTAAAAAAGATGTGTGGACATTTGTGACTGTTTAATGTGTTTTTGTGAACCTATTTTTTCCTGAGAACTGCAGCAAAATCGGAGCCAACAATTCGGTAGTGATTAACCTTTCCAATCTGCAAAATAGATTTTCATTGGTAAGAATAGAGTTTATCACATGCTTTGTTCGCCGGTTTTACGATAAGCCCAGCACATAACTCTAGACTGCATTCAGAATTTAGGCGATGTGAAATTTGTTGCTGCCCGGAAATCATAGGTATTATGAAATCCATCCACTTGTGTTCTTTCATGCCTAATCTGAACTCTATCTACTGGACTTTACGTAAGCTCTAGTCTGATACCAAAATGGAAGAGATTACTCACAAACACGGTGCTCTTGGTTTAAGAGCATGAGTGTCTATGAAATTATGACATTGATCCGAAATCACAGGTACCTACTACAATTAGTGGGGTACCTAATTTCATTGTTCCAAAGAAATGTAGCTCCTACAATTAAGAGTATAGAACGAGCGACATTGTTGCATACCGTTTCAGTTTTTGGCGCACGGAATTTTCCTTATGATAAAGTGATTATCAAAACCTAATGTGCAACTTGTACAAACGCAGCTTAAGAAGTTACATACTGTCTGATTATTCGAGTTAAAACATGTAAATTTTGGTATTGATAAAATCTATTTAATATTTCGTGAAGGCAAACTTCTAAAATTTTGTTGATCTATCCTTTCACATTTAATTGCTCATTTTTCGTAATATGGTTAAGGAGTAAATCAATAGTATTGTTATTATGCTGTAAAGCAACGAATAAATACATTGTAAATGTCGGAAAGCTAAGTTCAGGTCATTGAAAAAACCCATATACCTCAAAAATAATTATAGACTCCGCCAAAAATCACCACAGGCTCGAAAAACGTTAAAAACGGAATTTGGACGCATTTTGAAATTAGGAATGACTACAAATTTTATCCGTCCTTTTCATAGAAGCCTTGTCCTTGTTTCAATACTTCATCAAAAATCCTAGCGACATTTTTCGAGTTATACAAAAATCAACGAAAATGATTAAACATGTTTTTTGTGATATACATTCCCTGTAACATCCAAAAAGTGCAATATTTAGATTACACATTGGAATTGAAGTGTTTTGGTAACTCCCTGTGAGTTACCGATGTGAACACTTTCAACACTATGCCAAGTACTATCACATACACATACCTACTGCATTTCCTCATCTATACTTTTTGTTATTGAGATTCAATCAAAATTTTCTCAGAAGAAGCGTAGCTTTGACTGGATGGCACCCCCAGTTACCCTCTGATTGCATTTCGAACAAAATGATTTATAGTTTCCCAATACCGAATGTTTTAACTTAGCCACACCGTTGATTGCTTTATTTTCGGGTGTGCTTTCTGTCAGTTATGTTTCTGACTTTTTGGCACTAGTGGTATATCTAGCTTCCTATCAACGCCATATTGAGCTGTTGGTATGCAGATATTGCTTGACTCAATGTATGACGAATTTTCTAAATGGGTTGCAATGCACCTTGCACTGGATTTAAAGCTATTAATTCCACATGAAAGATACAACATATTTGAACTGTTGTATAAGTAGCATTGATTATAATCTTCATGATTAAAACTTGTTTTAATGGCTGCTAAGGTCAAATATAACTAAATACATAGCTTCTGTTCCAAATATTCTTAACATTGCAATTAACAGTTAGTGTTTCTTTCAGTGTATACGCTATCGGCACTTCAACATATTCAGGAAAAACAACTAAATAATAATAGGAGAATCAGGGCTTGAATAGAACGGCTTCCAGATTAAAATCTATGAAGCTTTATCCTCAAATCACAACCAACTAGGATAACTACTTCAATAGAAGCACTCTTGAAAAAATGACGAAATTAGAGTGACATGTGACCACTAATCTTGTGCACACCCAAAACAAAACCACCCATGGTGTAAAATGGTGGTGGTTCAAGAACGGTCGCTTGTAATGGCCCATACGCCGTTAAAGTCTTTCACGATCAGTTCCATACTGACGAATACAAATAGTAGAATTGAAGAACCTGAAGAAGAATGCGAGAAGAAGGAAGAAACGTCTGCGACTGAGGTGAGCGACTGTGAATCGGAGGACTTGGATGTCACTGGTACTACCACGCCACCATTGGATTGTTCCAATAAAGGAGATGACGGAGAGGACGTTGCAAAAGACGGTAAGTTTGTCCAATATCACTGCCATTGGTTTCTACAACGAAATGCCTTATACAACGGATATAAGGAATGATTGCAAATACAGAATGTTTTTGCTCTTTCAGCCAGCGTGTAAAAGTTTATGGCACATTTTTAAGGTTCGCATGATATCAATGGAATCTTTTCATACGTTTTATACTCAATTTGTAGAAAAATTCTAGATTTATTTTAGATTCTATACCAATAGTTGAATATGAGTTACTTTACGTGAATCCTATATAATCTACTTCAAGTTAGAGAACCACTGTTTGCAAACTGTCATATATCGAAAAAAATATTAATTCTCATAGCTCGATTAAACCAATGCCAAGCTTCTAAAGTCAGTCACCCATAGTATAAAACGTTGATAATACCTATATCTCATCATGGACGTCAATTTGACACACAACTAAATAAGTTTTGTGATGTCGCACAAACAGAACAAAATTGCCGACATATAATAATCACCATTCGGATAAATTGACATAGCCATCTAAAGGTTGGTCCAAAATTGTTGTCAACAGTGCCTGAAAAAAATTGCATGTTCAAAGTCAAAACACAGATAAATCCACAATCACATACGTGGATTTGCCCCGTATATCCTTGCATACGGGGTAAACTCAACTCCAGAAGAAGACGAAGGATAGTAGATCGCATGTCTTGTGGAAAAGTATGTAAACATTTTAGTAAAGGTAAACTTATCCAATACAGGGTGTCCTGAAGGTTGGGAATTTCTTTTTCAGGAACAACTACGTCTGAAGTAACAAAGCTAATTGTGTGAAAAGGTGAAAAAAAATAAATAAAAAAGCACTTATTTGCACACATTTCAAGTACGGCTCTGTCAGTTATAAGTACTGTTTGAAGATATCGCCGCTGGTAAAATGTTTCATAGAAAGTCACGGCATTGATTCGTGAGAAGGAGGCATCCAGTGAGCGTAAAATTTACTACTTCAGCCGAAAAATTCAAAGAAAATGTTTGTTGAAAGTGTGTCCGATGGACTGCGTAAGGATTTATCATTGAGCTTTTCAGGAGCTATTCAACAACTTCATGTTGGTGTAACATCCACTCACCAAACGCACTTTTGCAGGAAACTCATCAGCTCAGCTTATATGAAAAGGTACAGTCCATCATCACGCAGCATTTCTTTTCCTCTCCTTCCTCAGTTTACACCATTCGGGGTTGCTTAGGTCTCCCACAGTAACCCCAGTTCTTTGCACAACGCAAACAAATCTACGCGGCCGTAAATGATAACGTCTGAGAATATACACTCTCGAAGCCTCGGTAGCATTTTGAAGACACTCACCAAGGTCGATATTGCTCTAAGAGTGTACCATTTTGGTTCTTTTCAAACCAATTGGTAAATAAATGTTTTGTACACCTACGCTGTCGGTGTCTCTGTTGAGTACCTACTGACATGCATCATGCCTTCCCACATTCGATTTGATCGAGATATTTGAGGGGCTTAGGTTTGGATTGGGTTTGATTAATTTTACGAAGCCTGATATCTAGATTATCTTAAGACTCTGGTGTATATACTACTAGGAAAAACTGCTTATATTTTGAAGATCTATAATCTATCGTCTGTAAAGGAAAGTACTAACTTTGTAGGCCCTGTGTTTTTGAGTTTTGCTCAAGTACCGACGGCAACGAAATCCAACAGAAATAGTGATTCTAAGCGTGGTAGTCACTGTACGACATTCTTTAATAGTCTGCCCTGTCGAGGAAGCTGATTTTGGAAATGTCATCCAAAATCTTAAATTCAGAGTAGCGGATAAATAAGTTTACAAATATCTGCTTCTTCAAGTGCATATTTTTTAACTGGAAGTAGTAAGACTGTTAATGCATTAGTTTCATTTCTTGATAGTTGCTGAATTGAAATACTCGTTTCTGGCATGTCCAAAAGCTGTACCATAGATTTCTTGATGCAATACATATATCTTAAAAACGCTCATTTTTGATTGAATGACTAATTTTGCGGTAATTAGTATTCTTTCTGAGAAATTATCTCCAAATTGAATATTAATTTTTTGCAAAATCGCTGCTATTATGCACTAGATGCAGCGAAAGTATCCCACTACTAGATTGGCAGTTTAAGTAACCTGTTTGAAGTACCAACGTCATTTTTATTACAAGACACAGCAATACCATCTTTTGAATAGCAAACATGTATAAAGCACTTGATTACAGAATCTCGAAGCGCTGTCAACACTCCCTACTACTGTTACACATTCTTGGGAACCTAACTTATCTATCTATAATTGTAGCTGATTATTACTAAAACTCTATACCTTTTAAGAAATCCCAATAGTATGTGAAAATCACGAAATTGGATCGGTAATTGTAATCCTATTGTAGCTTCTGTCAACTCACCCTCATATACAATTTGTGTAAATATTTTGCAGACATGTAGCTGTGACCTCGTTAACTATCCACACTATTTCTTTAAAAATTCCTTTTCCCTTACAGGCAAAGAAAAGAAGCCTAACGAGAAGCCCCCATATAGCTACAACGCCCTCATAATGATGGCTATCCGGAACAGCCCCGAAAAGCGGCTCACCTTGAATGGCATCTACGAGTACATCATGAAAAACTTCCCTTATTACAAGGACAACAAACAAGGTTGGCAGAACTCCATCAGGCACAACCTCAGCCTGAACAAGTGCTTTGTGAAAGTGCCTAGACATTACGATGATCCGGGCAAAGGTAACTACTGGATGCTAGATCCTTCTGCAGAAGACGTATTTATTGGTGGCACCACAGGCAAGCTCAGGAGGAGATCCACAGCAGCTACCAGGTCCAGGTTGGCAGCTTTTAAAAGAACGTTGTCCATGTACAATCCTTTGCAGCCCTATTCTCCTTTCTACCCTCCCTCCCCCGCGCTTCTAGCAGCGGCTTACTCCCGCTACAACCCTTACATTCACGCCCCCGCAGGTTCTATAATCCCTCGACCATTGCCTCTACAACCCCAACCAAATCATCACCCAATGGACTTGTCATCTTCTTCGTTATTCCGACCTCCTCATCCATTGTTGGAGATGTACAGCAATTTGAGGTTAGGTGTGCCTCTGCAGTATCCTCTTCAAATGCCTGTGCCCGGATTGAGTGTTCCACAAGGACATAATTTACCTTCTGCTAGTGCAACGAGTAGTCGGACTATGGAGGAAGGGCTACTGAAGCCAGTGACTGTTATAACTAGGAATAGTTAATGAACAAATATAGATGTGAGGCTGGATTATGAGTACCGTTTTATAAAACAATGGGAGAATTGGTTACAATGTTCGAAATGATCATTTTTGGTTAGCAATTTCCATCTGAAAATTGCTAACCAAAAAGAGATTTAGATGTTAACTTTCCATCTAATTTCATACCTGATGATGCTTTTTGCTTTCAATTCTTGATTGAATTTGACCGTACTTTCTGCTCTTATGTATTGGCTTTGGTTATTTTACTTACTGAATTGCAAAACTTTTGATACATCTAAAGAGTACGTAGTTATTTATAGGTGCTGAATGGTTGGTACGAAGAGCCCATTTATGCAGGCGATTTGTATACAGCGGCAACGTCGTACGAAAAGTTTTTCATTCCTTATGGCGCGATTTCTTGACTATTTCCCGCGATTTTGGTTAGTAACGCTAACAAAAGATTTCAGACTAATAGATGTCAAACTGATAGTCGCGCGACATGTTATGGTAATTGCGCGGTCAGAAATGCCTCCTTGATTTTCATAGTCTTTTCTGCAGAAATGCTTTCCATATTTATACTGTTCCGAGTCAGCGTCTGTGAGGCTATGCTTTGTTTTTGAATTGCTGGAAATTTCAGGCTAATATACTTAACATGATATGAATCAAAAGTACGAACAATTTGATGCAAATAGATATTTGTAACATAACCTCAAAGTAGAGCGCTGACACAGAACAATTGAAAACTATGAAAATCAATGAGGCCATAAAGGCGTCCTGCAAATGTAGGAACGAATGACGATACGACCTTAAGTCGCACGTCTTTGTAGTAAAACAATCGCGTGCATAAATGTGTTCTACTTGTATAGGTTTTGTTCCACGCCGAGATAGCGACGGAAGACAGTGACCAAGCCTTAGACCGATTAGTGAGACTAGTGCACAGATAATTAGATACACTGGTTAGACTGGTAGCATAGCATCGATACAGGAAATCGGCCCCTGTCACTGTAAGACTCAAATTCAAATGTAGAATGTATGAAAAAGCAATGAGTGGCTTAATTCTTACTGCTTGACATACTTTGGAGCATTTCACGTGAAGCGGACGACAAAAAAGAGTGAGATTTCAGAAGTCCTTTATATTGGACCTGGAATCTCTTTGGTGTGAAAAAAAACTATTATTTTCCTGTGATACTTATTTGCTGAGTTATCGGCTTCTAAATAAGAGCCGTAATTGAAATAGAGATTTCTTCGGAGTACTTTTAAGAATTGAAGAGTATTACATTGATACATTAAACATAGCGTTTTCTAGTATATAGTGAAATTAAGCAAATTAATTTGACATTTCAAAAAATAAGGTGCAAATCTGAAGTATTTCATTCAAAAGTTTGGGAGATATCGACCATTCTTATTTTAAATTCTTCACTTCAAAATAGCCTAAAATATTTTAAAAATACACTAGAATTTTCAAAATTGGATACGCTTTGATTAAGGAGATAGGAGAGATAAGAGGATGCAGTTTTATGTATGTACCTACATGTTGACCGGTTATGACGTTAGACGCTTGATTAGGGCGGCTGGTTTGTGAGATATCGGACTAGTATATGAGTACTTTTGAACTCTAAATATGATTTTAAAAATACTCTAACAGAACATAGTTTAGTGTTGCACCTTTTTCCAACTTTTTTGCGTCGAAATACAATGAAAGAAGGATATGAAGTTAATAATAATTATAATATTATTTATTGATATCTGAATCAGTTAAGGACTGACAGATATACTGAGATAAATATTAATTAAATCAATTACATTTTTAATTGTGTCAATTAAAAAATTATTTAGCTATGTGACAGGTAACAGGTTTAATCAGTTTGAATAAACTCCCAACCAAACCGCAATCTTCTATTTAAATCCATTAAACCGTTCAGATAGGTCGATTAGGTACATCATTTTAAGTATTTAAAATTAACTGTTAAAATGAGTTTTACAATTGAATTGTATTTAATAAATTTGTTTAATTGGTCTAGGTAAAAGTGTTTGCCTAGTCTTAATGAATTATTTTATTTAGATTCAAAAGGATATTTGGAATTTAAAAAAAATTGCATTTTAGTGAATGATGTATATTAGAACTGTCCTCTGACAAATCTTAGATATCAAAAAAATTGGAGAACGATGAGTTCAAATCAAAATGAAATTCGAATTTTATAATCCTATCAAAATTCGATATTTTCATTTTCATTGATTGTGAACTTATTATACATGGAATCAAGTTTTACCAACTTTTGTCTATTTGTTCAGAAACATTTTATAATATGTCACCATTCAGCAGAAGCAATTCTTTATTTTAAATTTAAAAAATAGAAAAAGGGATACCTATCTGAAACTGAATAAGGTCACTTGATCATATTTAAGAAAATTGTATTATATAAATAAATTGGACAGCACTTTAGACAGACTAGGATATTTTCAAATACTACAAAGCTTACACCAACATGAAGCCTCACCTCCTATTTATACTTTATACAATACAATCCAAAAACACATCAAGCCTATGTAAATGTAGCTTTTTTCTGTGACGTTAAAAAAGTTTGACATTTTATCTCTGTTGACAGGTAACAAAATTTTACTTCTTATGAAATAACTTTTTTCCCTGGGGAAAAAATTAGTACTTTTTTCCCGGATATTGTATAAACACATAAGCAAAGATAGATTTTTTTTAGAATATTCTGTTATACAATAAAGTTACATTTCTTTCATATCAAAAGTACAATTAAATGAGCATTGCATGAATGACACTATCCGGTACAACAGTAGAATTTTCTTGTGTTGAAATTATGTTTTTCTGCCATCACAACTCCCGTTGATATACTTAGTCGCAAATCCGGTGTTATTTCAGCACTACCACACGTTCTAAACACTTTATTAGCTTTTTCTGTCCTGTGTACTACCGATTCATCAACATACCTTTCAGCGACCGTTGATGACTTCCAACCGCCATGTTTCTTTAGTGTCATCAAGTCTCCCCCAGATTCAACTAAAACTGTAGCAGATGATCTTCGAACTGAATGACCTGCATATGAGTTAGCATTTTCAAGTGGAAGAAAATTAGCCACTGTTTCGGAAAACTCATAAAACTAGTTTTTACTGATTGCTACATTTTCCATTATGATATGCACAAAACAGGTGGCGATCCTTTACTGCTGATGGGTGAAAGGGCTATGTACATTCGGTGAAATTTAATATATTTTTCAGTAACAACAAATCTCCTGTTTACATCATTCTTTGTTTCCTTAAGTTTCACAATTAATAACCTTCCCGAATTTTCAACATCACTTAATGTTACCTAGCTGATTTCACAAATTCGACAAGCTCCTGCAACCCCAAATACAACAACAATCTAGGCCATTAAATAAACTTAGCATTATTTAAAAAATCACTAATTTGTGTACTCGTAAAAATCGCAGCTTCCTTGGGTTTGGAATATTTTGATATGTCTACAATTATTGTTGGATCGTAACATACTTTCAATCATTGAATAATTCGACCACACTGTTGATGGCTTTTGTTGTTGTGCCAATTCTTAAAAATATGATAATAACACCGTCTTCGACAAAGAACTGCATGTTTTCTTTTTCATCGTCCATTCCAAGTATCTTGAATACGCGGTTTAGCTGGCAATAATTTTTGTGATGCAACTTTGGCTACTTCTACTAATTCCGGTGGAGTCAAAGAAAACTCGGAATCAGACATTTTTTACTTTATAGTATTAAAAATAACTTCTAAACAACCTCTAAGTTCGCAATTTTTAAATCAAATCACAAAATTAAATTGACAGTCATTGGATTACTTTAAAAGTTTCCTTAGCAACGCAGGTCTAATTGTCTCTATAAGTACAACATAGCCTACTAATTTCAAAACTCAAATTTCACATCGATAATTTTCTGACATAAATTTGGCAATAATGTGATTTTTCAATATTCGATCGCCGTTTTCCGCGTCAGAGAAGAAAAATGTGTATTATACACGAGAAAAATACAAGATTTTAAAATCTAGTACATTTTTCCTTTGTAAAATAAATAACTATTTCTATAAAATCTAAAGAAACTAAACAGATTTAGCAGTTCAATCAGACAGACGTGCTTAGCTATATAGCTTACAATTAAACTGGATTCAAAAATTTCAGTTTAGTCAAACCGAATAACTTAGTTACTCAGAGTCATTAAAAACTTTCTAACGGGTAATGAAAACCTTTCAGAACAACTACTTAATTGACCACGTCTTCTCAAGTGCAGCTATAACTTTGGTATAAATAGTAACCTGCAGCACCATCTATTAACTGCGAAAATATGAATCTCAATCAAGAAGTAATATTCGGTCTCAGGCTTGCTTGCTGTTATTATCTCTTGTCGCTACCAAGGTGCGGAACGATAGCTTGAACGAGTATACATTTAACTAACACCTCACTGTAAAAAACGAATGTATGTACCTACAGCCTGCGACAATCAAAGGTTCGACTCTTGTTAGCCTGTCAAGTGAGGATAAAAATTGCTTCAAGATTAGCTGAGTCTAAAATTACTCTTTTGGATAGTAAGGTAATGTTTCAACTTTGATTCAGACACTAATAAATATTAATTTTCAATGTTCAAAACAGTTTTTTATTTTCTCATAATTCAGTATGCGTCCAGGTAGGCTGTGTTTACACATAAAATGTTTTTTTTGATACTTCAGATCCTTCTGAACAAAAAGGGGACTTTTCTCAAGTTACCGTTTCGGAGTTATAAGCGATTCAATGTCAGAAAGACTATAAAGAGGAGAATGTTCAATGCCTAAGAACTCTTTTAAAATTGCTATTTTTAGGTTGTCAAATGTCTGCATTAAAGCTCATATCTTCCTCTACAAAAATCAGAAGGACTATTCAAAGCTTAGTTTACTTTGAAGCGGTTTTTAACCTTGCTATGGTAACAAAACGCAGACTTTTGATTTTCGCAAATAATACTTATAGATAAATGACCTGTATATACTTTTATAGTTATTTATCACTGAAAATTAATTATTGTAAATACTTGTATAAATGTGGATTTTATTGAGTGCATATTTATTTTATATCATACATGACATTTCAATCGAGGCCAGGTCGATCTACTAGGCAAACTGTGCGAGTGTAAATACCAAATTCTGACTTACTGTGTGACAGTGTCTACTACCAAGCAGATGAATTGTCATCAAACAATGCTCTGTCATGAATAGTTTTTGGCAAGAATGGGCACATTCTGAACGTTACATCATGTATCTAAACACTAATAAAGCGGATTCATTATTTTAGAAATGGAACTGCCAAACACACAATGTTCATAGGGTTTTGATTCTGAGATCAAGGTACGAATGGTGTTTCTATGCTAAGCACTTTTAGTCACCTGCATCCAGAGCTATAGTAGAATATTTGTAACTTTAGACATGATAATCTTGTCACAACTCCACTGTCACTAGTTTCGTTTGCATCTTTCACAATTTATAGAAGCTGTTATTATGCAAATAACAGATCAAGCAGATATGAATTGTTGTTACGTGAATAAAATACTTTTATCGCCAACGTTATTTTATTTATATATACCCCCTAAAAAAACACTCTTAACTCGGTTCGGCTACGTCACGTCACCATTAGGGGCATGGCCCGACCTGAAAATCCAGTTGGACCTTGAAATTTGCATATTTATTATGATTTTGTGTAAAGTTTTGAAGAGTTATATGATTTGTCTCCTAAGAAAGATTTTTGAGGGTAAATACACTTCCACAAGTTATCTTTCGCGGATGATCGCCCCCTTCTGAAAAAAATTGCTTTTCAAATCCCGTTTTTTTTGGTTAATGGTTGGCAGTTTATGGCGTAATGTTAATGTTAGGTTTTCCAGACCTAGCATTATAGGTATTATAGTTCTAAAATTCTTGATTTTATTTATCAACTTAGTGGAGTCAATTTGCATACGTAGGTACCCAATAATTATCGAACTTACCTGTAAGTGTCGTTCGATCCTAATTATGTGAAGGTGTGGTCGAAGCAACTAGCTC